ACGTAAACTATTGGCGCCCAAATCAATAATATTCAAGTTGTTTAATTCGAGCCTGGTCAATTTGGGCAAATTGGCAAAAACGTTGGCCCCAAATGTCTTCATAACATTGTCCCGACGGCCGGTGCCCTCGAAGTGAATGGACTCCAAGTTTGGGAATTTAGCAAATTTCAAGTCAAATACCGGATCGTTGAACCTCTCGATTACAATCGACACCAAGTGTTGGGATCCGATGGCAAACAACGCTTCGGTCACTTGAGTGCCGACTCTTCTCAGCTCTAGCTCTCGGAACTGGAGATCAATTAATGGTTGCACTGATTGGACGCCAACTATTTCGATAAGCATTAGTTTAGTGGTCGTTACGCCCCGAAGCTGTATGTTTGCAAACTGTGACCGATATAGTTGTATATACGAGAAGTTGTATAAACCATTTAACAATGGTATATGTCTGCCATCTCCGCAATACAAGTATGGACGCGGATATGGACTGCATTCGCAACCATTAAGTATATCATTTGGTGGGCATATGAAAGCTCGACACCCATTCAATAACACGTATATAATTATCGGAATAAAACCTAATAAATTAATTTTGTATATATTTCAACAGAATATTATTTACTGTAGTTAACGTTATTAAAATAAAATATTCTTACCAATCATTATTAATTTTCGGAAAGAAATAACAGGTTTAAAAATATTATTCCATGATCTTTAAATAAATTCTATTAAAGTTAAACGCATTATGACATAGATTATAGATTATTATAGAATAATTAAACAATGTTGATGGACAGAAATACCTTAAACCACCCATGCTCATTGGGGAAAAACTTTTTTTTTATAGCTATAGGATTATTAGGAATTGTATATTTGCCAAAAATAATCAGAACTTGTTTAGACTGAGAAATACAATATCTATGTGAATAATTATTGTGTACAAATGCTCATAGTGTCAAATGGATGTTGCTCATTTATGAAATTCATAAAATCCATTAAGATAAATAATGTTAATAATAGTTATTTAAGCATCTATTGATAGAACATACAGTTCAGAATATTACTTTATAAATATAAATTTAATAACATAAATATTAGATACACTTTTAGGATATTCTCAAATATCTAGCTGTTTAGTCGTAAATATTATTTCGTTAAATGTATATTATTTTACGCTTAAAATATTAAACAATCTTTAAATATAGGTCTGCATTGGGTTTTGAATTTTGTTTGCTATAAATATATTTATTTGATTGAATAAAACCAATATTTAATACTTTCTAAGTTTTAATCAATAAAAACAGATAAAACATTAGTATTTAAAAGTTTATTTAATACTTGATTCCGAATTGATAGCTCTTGACCCCAGAGTTGGCACAGATATAAAGTGTGTTAAATATAAAACAAATTACAAAATTTAAATATGATAATTTTAAATGGTAAATAGTAATTTAAAGTAAATTTATTATATTATAATAAAGTCTATACATAAATAGATTTAAGCTCGTCCACAACTTTTACATATTGATGTGATATACTCTCGTATTCATGCATATTATCACTCATATAAACACTATCACTGTTGCCATTAATACCAGTAATAGTCTGCATTTCAATCTGATGGTCAGTTCGCAGTTCGGCCACCGGTCGGGAATACAGCCGATGAGGCCATTCAGACCAATGCTTTTTACACCACATTGAAAGTGATATTGCAATGCATAGACATATCAGGGATACTATGAGCCCTATAATTAGCCACCAATATTTTAGCGACATGGAATTAGTGTTGCTACGTTTTTCAATATTATGCATGGTTATTTTACGCTCAATTGGCTCATGGTCACTATAGTCTGATGGTATTGTGGTTGTACTATAATTAATAGTATGAGTGAAAATTGTGGTCATTAATTGAGACATAGTGTTCAATGGGTCTACAGTGGGTTTGTAATCAATGAAATCATATTCACTCATATAAAGCAGATCTCGATTATTATAATCATTACAAAAGACATCTTTTAAGCGAAACTTATTGATATTATGGGCGAAAATCCATTTGATTTCATCGTATTTGCATTGAATTGGATTTGCATTTAAATTGATTGTAATTCTGGACTCATTTGTGCAATACTTGCGAAACACAGACTCCGGGAGGGATTGAATACCACTCGCGTGAAGGTTAATATCAATACTACCGATAGTGTTGTCTAGAGATAAACATTTAAATTGATTGTAATTCTGGACTCATTTGTGCAATACTTGCGAAACACAGACTCCGGGAGGGATTGAATACCACTCGCGTGAAGGTTAATATCAATACTACCGATAGTGTTGTCTAGAGATAAGTCGGATCTCTCTAATTGATGGCATTGTAGTCCAATCCAACCATGGTTATTTTCGCTTAGATCCACGTACAGGTGCTGTCGGGTAGAAAAACGTAGACTATTAGTGCCCAGTCTATTCAAATTGAGGGCATGTAAATTGAGCTTGGTCAATTTGTGCAAATTAACAAAAATATTGGCCCCAATAGTCTTCATAATGTTTTCCTGACGGCTGACGCCCTGGAAGTGAATGGTATCTAAATTTGGGAATTTTTCAAATTTAAAGTTAAATACACTTCCCGTAAATCTTTCGATTAAAATGGACACCAAATGTTTGGATCCGATCGCAAACAACGCTTCTATCACTTTAAAGCCCACTCTCTTGAGCTCCAACTCTTGGAATTGGAGATCATATAATGGTTGCACAGATTGGGTGTCATTTATGTCGATCACAATTAGTTTGCGTGCCTTTACTCCGCGTAACGATATATTTGCCAAATGTGTCCGATATAATTGTACATAATTAAAGTTGTATGCCTTATCTAACCATGGTACATGTCTGCCTGAACTGCAATATAAGTTTCTCAGGCGTGGTATGCATTCGCAGCCATTGAGTATATCATCTGATGGACACATGAATGCCAAACACCCATTCAATAACACCATATTCACACACATGATTATTGTAATAAAACCTAATAATTTAATTATATAATTAATTCAAATGTATATTATTGAGTTAACGCTATTTAAAATTAAATATTCTTACCATTCATTATTTGAACATATTTAACATGTATGAACAGTAGTCAAATAATTTTTCTTGCAAGTCAACACTGATCTAATTGTTTATTTTTATAAACTACTTAAAATAATGATGAATAAAACTATTTTAGACCAACTTTGTTCACTGTAGTCAATATTTTAACTGGTCAATATTCAATCCTATTAAATATTTTATGTTTACCAAAAATGATTAGCACTGGTTTAGACGGATAAATAATTATTTTATACAACAGCTCATGGTATCAAATGGATGTTGTTTAGTTATAAAAATTTAATTTTAAATTCATGAAGATATGATAAATATTATTAATAATAGTTTGTTAAAAATTTTATTAAAAAGTATATCATTTTACACAACTACAAATCAATCTACTAGTAATGAATCTAATGATAACTAAACTTTGATACACTTTTAGGATCATCTCAAATATCTGAACTTCAGATTCTGAATGTCTAACAAATATTATTTCGTTAAATGTATATTATTTTACGCTTAAAATATTAAACAATCCGTATGTCTGTATTGGGTCTTGAATTTTGTTTGCTATAAATATATTTATTTGATTGAATAAAATCAATATTTAATACTTTCAAAGAATACATTGAAATAAATATATGCTTTCAGTCAAGTATTGAAAGAATATTTTAATATTTATATTCAAAAACATATTTTTACGCTTCATATTAGCACTGAATTTATAGTAAAAATTCATATGTTTATATCTTTAAAATATTCCACTTCTTCTTTGAATAGTGTTTTAGAAATTTTGTTTTTTTTGTGAACAAAATATAATTTAGATTTTAATAAACTTAATTTATATCAATTATATTTACTATAAAATTGCATATTTAAATGCAGTTATAAAAAGTTGGATTAAAATACCGGAGTTTTCAGTAAATAAAAGCTTTTTATGTCCGATATTTTCAGACCAAAACCTATCAATCGATAGATAAGTGTTGTGACGATTATTATGGAAAAAATGTCAAAACTTTTTTATCTCTTCTTCGCTTTCAAAGAATATGCAATGAATTCATATAATAATCGGATTCTGTTATTCAAAAATGAGGCCAAAAAAGTAAAAATATATAATATATATATCTTTCTATTTCTTTATCAACGGTATAGAGAATTGTGTGCAAAAAATTTTGAAACATATTTTTTCACACAAAAGTATTTCACTTTTTTATATATTCAACTGAAATGTATTTTTATGTAATTTATATTCATATAAATCATGTCGTATTGGGGTCTCAATTATTCTCCATTGCGTAGTCTCTCTCTCTCTCTCTCTCTCTCTCTCTCTCTCTCAAAATTTTATGCAATTTATAACACAATAATCTAATCCTTTCTCTATAGAAATCTCTCTCTCTCTCTCTCTCTCTCTCCTCACAAGAGAGTTGATAGAAAAAGGACAGAAAGAAAAAGAGCAAAGAGAACGAGAATAATGTATATATTTGTTATATCTATATATTAATGATATAATAAAATAACACAATTCTGGAAATGCATAAAAATAAATAAAATTTTATGCAATTTATAACACAATAATCTAATCCTTTCTCTATAGAAATCTCTCTCTCTCTCTCTTACTTTTTATCAAAACCCTAGCCATTAGTCTCTCTTTACAGTAGTGTTATATTGAAATAAATGTTTGAAACAGAATATTGTGAACAATTCCGAGCATTCAATTGCTTTGAAGCAATTCCTGAGATTTATAACCAATATATTTATATTCACAGCAATTCTCTATTGCTTTAAATCTACTTTTATTTTCATAAATTCATTCAAACATATAATAAAGTAATATTTTATACTTTTTTATTTATATTGTATACAATTTATTAAATGTAAAACTTGTTTATATATAAAGATATTATAAATATAACATTCATTAAAAGGGTTCACAGAATTCAGTGCATTTGATTCATACCTAATTAATTAAGAATAATATATATAATTAAAATCACGATAAAAACACACATCAATTAATGAACAATTGATTGATAAAAACATATAATAAACTAAACCATTAACGCAGACAATAAACAACATATCAGACCACAAATCAACTACTTATGGCTGATTTGGGCTTAAAATAACCGGTAATCTTAGTTTTGCCACTCTTTTCAATCCTCTTCTGTCTCTCGAGTCGTTCCCATCGCTCCGACTTCTTGGCCGTCCTCTCCAGCCGTTCCCTCTCTTCCTTAGCCTTCGCTTCGGCTTTAAATTGCATGGCTTTACGTCTAAAAAAGCCCGGTTTGGTCGGCGGGCCCTTCCGTTTAGGCCTTCGCACCAATTGCTCGTATATTGATTTTGTCACAATTGGCTTACCATTCATTGTCTTATCACTCTTTGTCTTATGGTTTATAGCTTTAATTCTTGTAGTATTATCTGTTGTAGTGTTTGTTGTATTGAGTAATAAATTATTTGGCGCATTATTTGACGCATCATTTGGCGCAACATTTGTCTCAATTATCTCAACATCTGATCCGTTCTCTCCATCACTAACTGATGGCTCACTTGTAATCAAATTATGATTAATATTATTACAACTATTAGTGCTATTATTAGTCCAAAAGTCTTTCAACGTTTTGGTGTTTGAGACAAAACTCTTGAACCGTTTAGCGGAGGGATCGTTACCATCGGTGGCGGCGGCGGAAGCGCTGCCATGAGTTTTGAAGGCTTGGCTTTTGTTAACTTTCGAGAAATAATTGTCTAATTTGTGTGTATTATGTGAGGGATCGTCACAATCGTCCACAAACTTTGACGCAGCGATCATTAGATTGGTTAACGGATCCATTTTGGCGGCCATTTTGCTAAACACCTGTCGCATCACCAGATCGACCAATTGGGTCGCATCGGCGGTGCTTTGCTCGTCCAACAGCGGCACTGACCGCGAGTTATGATCGCCAGTCTTGTCGGCCAACCGGTAGCTAACGGTCAACAGTTTGGGCGACCGTTTGTTCATCTCTTTGTCGCGAGCGATACGTTCGACGAGTTCTTCGCACAACTGTCTCACCCAGTGTTTGATGTCAGCGATTGTCGTCAAACAGGTTTTGCCTACAAAATCAAAGCCATAAATACATATCACTTAAACACATGACACTAAAAACCAAATACCGGGAAAGTTTTTGCCGCAACCGATCGATTTGGACAGTTGACGATCGCTGACCGGCTCGTCGTCCAACCCGTCGCCCATTTCCTTAAGCCATTTGGCGGTCTTCTGGTCGTACTGTCGGCACAATTGAATGAAATCCAAACATTTCAGTTCATACATAGTGTTCACACCGAACGCCTGTTTCACACTCTGGCCTAACTTTCCGCCCAAAGACCGCACTTTCGATATATCCATGCGTTTGAAGAACTGGTCGACACCCGCGCGCGGAAGTATGGTCTGGGCGTTGGGCTTATTGATACCGCACGCGAGTTTGGCCAGCGTTTTGTTATGACTGATGCCCGCCGAGCACTTGAACTCAGTTTTGGTCGCGATTTCGGCCCTAATCTGTTGGACAATAAGCGCGCCGAACGCCAAACGAATCTCATTGGCGAACGCAAACACATTGTCCCGCAACAGATCCAACCATTTGGTCAAATCGTACTTCTCATCAACAGTACCCGCGTTCACATCTTCTTCGTCGTCGTCTTCGCCGCAGTTATTGTCTGCATTCATCTCGAGTTTAGTGTCCTTCAGGTCAGCGCCGGCGGGAATTGGATCCAAACGAGCGACCAATTGGTCCACATATTTGGTCAGATCGATGAACGCCTCGTCGACTGAGGCCTTCTCCACAACGATATCGGGGCTCAAAGTGGCCACCAATTGAGTCATTGCGGCGAACACTTCGTGACTGCAGTCCCGATAGCGGGTCAGATCGGCTTTTCCGCGCACTTCGGGCACAGAAAAGATGTGTAACTCAGGGCAGAGGGCAGTGGCGTCTGTGCCCCGCATTCCCCGCTTTACGCCCCGATCCCTGGCCTCGTAGTTCACGGCTATCAGTCCACCGCCTGTTTGACACACAAAATACAATACATTATCCATATATACAGTCCAACACACGAGTGGTGGTCACTCGTCATCATCACCACGAGCTGATCCATACCTTTCCAGTTGTTATACTGGGCGACAGCGCACGGCTGTGACCACCGGTTGGGCGCCAATCGTTGTTCGCACTGAACGTAAAAGCAGTCCATATCTATCAACGCTATCACTCTGTCTGAAGACATGGTATCACCAAAACAACTGATCCCAAGAAGCGGTTAATCAGTTGTCAGTGTTTTTTGTTATCAACAAAACAGTCAATCGTTTTGTTTTCGCACAAAAATCGCTCCTATTTTTGAGACTATGCAATGCGAGGGACTGTTCACTCATTACGTGACGCGTATTGCATGCGTGCGCTTAACGTACACTTCCGCCACATTTGTGCCATACGTTCACTACTGTATTGAAACCCCCTTTGAATCTAATGGCGACAAATGTTTGTCTCATAGCAGACAATACTCTGCAATTGAATTTATGTTTATTATAACAAAAAGTACACTATATTTACAACATTTATCGATTCACTTATCAATGGAGAAAAGCATTGAAAACTAAAACACAAAACTTAACATAAGTTTTGCGGCAACAAAAACAAGTGTCACGTTATTTATGACAAACCCATGGATACGATGATCGATACAATCGCTAAACACAAGTCTTTCTCTTTCCGGTTAATGACAGACAACACGTTTGGGAAGTGTTTTGTCGACTCAAACCAAACATCACCCAAAAGATCAGTTCAAGCCATCAGTTGAGTGACCACTACTAAGACAAGCGATGGGCAGATACTCGACAGACCCGGAGAACCCGACGAAGTCGTGCAAAGCGCGCGGATCTAACCTTCGCGTGCACTTCAAGAACACGCGAGAGACGGCTCAGGCCATCAAACGGATGGCATTACGTCGGGCGCAGCGCTACCTGAAGAACGTGATCGACCAGAAGGAGATCGTGCCCTTCAGGCGCTTCAGCGGCGGTGTCGGCCGCAAGGCTCAGGTGAAGGCCTTCGCCGGCACAACACAGGGCCGGTGGCCCGAGAAGAGCGCCGAGTTTTTGCTCCAACTGTTGCGCAACGCCGAGAGTAACGCCGACTACAAGGGTCTGGATGTGGACCGACTGGTCATCGAACACATCCAAGTGAATCGGGCGCCGAAGATGAGACGCCGCACGTATAGAGCGCACGGACGCATCAACCCATACATGTCCAGCCCGTGTCATATCGAAGTGATCCTCTCCGAGAAGGAACAGGTGGTCAGTAAGCCGTCGGCCGCTGAGGACGACGCGGCCTCTCCTAAGAAGAAGTTGTCGAAGAAGAAGATGGCCCGACAGAAGCTGATGCAACGCGAGTAGAGTGTGTGGCGTGGGATCTGTTTGATGATAACACCCGACGAAACATTGTATTCAACTTCTTTTTGTCTGTTTTTTTCATTNCCTCTCCGAGAAGGAACAGGTGGTCAGTAAGCCGTCGGCCGCTGAGGACGACGCGGCCTCTCCTAAGAAGAAGTTGTCGAAGAAGAAGATGGCCCGACAGAAGCTGATGCAACGCGAGTAGAGTGTGTGGCGTGGGATCTGTTTGATGATAACACCCGACGAAACATTGTATTCAACTTCTTTTTGTCTGTTTTTTTCATTATAATTGAAGATTAATTATTGAATAAAAATTAATTGAAAGTATTTGTGGTTTTGGTTTTTCATTCAATTGATTTATAAATTATTTTTTTGGCGTTGATTTTGGTATTTAATCCAATTGTCTGACTCTTGTAACGCCTGTTTCAGTCGTTAGTTAATTATTTGCTTAATTTCTAATCCTATTTATGTCTCAATGGTTAACACATGAGAATGAGTTTAAAAAGTAAAACGATTATTAATTTAATAGTCATTTATTATCTTTTTGGTCATCAAATGAGTGTTAAAAATATAATTACAAAGGATTTGTTGTTTAGTTATTCATTATCTGAATAATTAAATGAAAGAAATTATATTTAAATTAAATTAGTCGTCGCGTAAAACATGTGCGCAAATAAACTAAAAAAGTCTTAATTTTGTTGTATAAATGAATTTATAGTCGAAATCACAAGAAATGAATCTCTAATTGAATGATAAAACAAAAACAAAACAAAAATAAACACATGAACTACAAAATCCAATTGTCGGCCGAACCGGTGGTCTAACCGCTTAAGTCATTGTCATCGTATAGTATTTGATCGTATAATTCGGCCTTAACTATGCGGCCGCCGAAGAATCGGCCGTTGAGGGCATCCCTTCCCTTAATGGCTTCTACGGGCGATCAAAACAAACCATTAAAACAACAAAACACAACAACAAAGAGAAGAGTAAGCACTGACCGGGTTGTTGGCCAAACTCGACGAATATCTTGACCACAATGTCCGCGTCCTCCTCTTCGGACTGTCTTTCCTGATAAATGATGACCCGATTAACGAAACCAAATTTGCCGCACTCTTCCGTCACCTCCTTCTCGAGCTCGTCGTCCAAGTCTTCGACGCCAACCATATTTCGCAATACAATCACTCGTGACTACAAACCAAAGACAATATCATTAAAATTCATCGTCACATCCATAGGTATGACATATACTATTACCTCATTCTTCCTCATGAGTTTATGCATTAACATCTGCCGAGCGTTTGATCCCTTAATGACAATGTTTTCCTGTTGTTGTAATGTTTGCGACTCATCGACATTACTGTTGGATTCGGAGAGTTTAAGCTCCAGCTCTTTGGCCGCCAGAGCGGCCGCCGTTTCAGCCGCAGACGCGCCGCCACTCGTCGTCGCGCCGGACGTAGTGTTTGTGACCGTATGGTTGGCGACAGTGACCGGCGGTGTGGAGAGGAATTTCGACGGCGCCGTCGTCTCCACGCCGTTGTTTTGCTGAAGACTCACTGGCAATGGTGTGACTAATGTCGGCGCCGGTATCACCATTTGCTGGTGCGTGACGTTAGGCGTGACACCCGTTATAATACCCGGCGCTGTGGCCGCTAATACTGGCTGTAATGAATTGGAAGCTAAGCTGAGTGCGGCCGCAGAACCAGTGGTCAGTCCGATAGGCGTTGGAAGAGCTAAGACTGGAGGCGGTATCGCAGTGTTGGTACCGTTTTGGTTGGGGGTCAGACTGGCCACGGCATCCATCGCTTGGATTTTGGCGGTAGCGGCTGCGGCGGCCACAGCGGCGGCGGTCGGCATAGAGCTCGGCGGCGGAGCGCCCGGACCGTCGAAACAGTTGGGCGGTGTTATGGCTCGACCCACCCGTAAGTACTGTCCGCCCAAATCGAAGAGATTCATGGATGTGATGGCGTCGAGTGCCGACTGGTCGCCGTCGTACTCGATAAAGCCGTAGCCCTTGTGTTTGCCCGGGTATTGACTGGCCGTCAGTTTGCAGACCTTAATCTTGCCGAACGCCTCGAACACCGACTGTATGTCCGCTTCGGACAAGTCCTGGTGTATGGACGCGATGTATATCCTATTGTAGGACTTGGCCTCCTGTTGGAGCTGCTCTATGATGGGCGCCGCCTGAGGCATGTTCGAGGGTCGGCCCACTTTGATGTTGCGGCCGCCGATCATCACACCATTCATCTGGTCTAAGGCCAACTGCGCCGCTTCGGGCAGATCGTACTCAACAAACGCGAAGCCCTTGTGCTTCTGTGTGATCGGATCCCAAGACATGTTTATAGACTTTATGGGACCGAACGGTACGAACGCCTGGCGAATGGTGTCCTCCTTGAGCTCGAAGCTAATGCTGCCGACGTATACGCGACACATGAGTACCAGCGCCTGATGTCTTTGCAGCGACTTCTGCTGCTGCTGTTGATGGGCTATTGTCTGCTTCACGAGCACCGACTTAATCGACTGCTCCATCGCGTACTTCTTCGCCTTCTGAACCATATCCAACTGATCCGCGTTCAGCTTCACTAAACCAGCGGCCAATTCCGACGCGCGCAGAGCGCCCGGACCGGCCAATAGGAGGCCAGTCTGTTGGGCGGCCGTCAGGTCGGCCACCGAAGCGTCATCTACACCACCGAAGAGACATAACACGTGTTAATGAGATTTGATTTATAAAAGTTATAAGAATTAGAAAATTAAAATTAATTGAAAAAATAAGGAAATAAATAAATGTAATAATAAAAGAGAAAATATGTTTCAAATTGTAATGATATTTCGTAAGCGAAAGTGCGGCCAAACAATCGGTCGGTCAAACATGATATTAAATGTTTCGCATTTTGTTTACCACTTAAGACATCCGATCAGAGAGACAACAGAGACGACAACTCATCTCAAGACTCGCATTGCATTATCATTTGGGAATCAATACCTCATGAGTTGGCATATTGTCTGACATTTCTTTAATGACAATTAAAACCTTCTAAAAGAAAGTGTAAAAAAGAGAAGAAAAAACAAAAAACCGGATGAAAAACATTTGCCGCGAAAAGACATCAAATTTTTGTTTGTATTTATACTTTAAAATACATATATTTATAATTAAAATCTTATAAATATATATATTTTAAGCAATAAATAAAAATAAGTGATAATAACCGCAAAAACACTCATTAATTGCATTGTTTTTCAATAGTGAGAAAAAATTTCAATTTTCATTATTAATTTTTGATCGCATTTTAAAGTCACCATTTGTTTAATGCATTGAATCATTGAATATCATCTCAACATTGATTTAGAAGAAGACAATTGTTTTCTCAGTACTTCTGTAACGACACGAGAAAAAGAAAAAAGAAAATGTGATCACAAAATGAATTGCAAATTGGATTACAATTATCCAAAATAATTAATACAATTATAATTAAATCAATTAAATTGGTTAAATTAATAGATCATATCATTTCATATCAAACCAATTCAACCACAACTCAGCCATCGATTAACCCAATCAATCGATGCACACATCGGTCAGCCATTACTCGTTATACAATTTATATACATTTCAAATACCATTCATTTCGACGGCAATAAATACTTATATTTAAGACATTACCGGAAATAATACACAATATATTTATAGTCCAGAAGTAATCATTAAATCAATTTAAAAATATTCTGTAAAATACCTTCGGCTTTGATGCGCTTCATCTGTGGCTCACCATTGGTTTGCATTGAATTCAATGCCTGTCAACAAAACAAAGACAAACATGAGATCAATTGGCGACAAATTATACGACAATAGGGTTAGAGGGGGTGCGGGAGGGGTCGGGCATAGGAGGGGAGGGTATGAGAGGTCTATAATTGTGACTTACATTAGGGTCCAAATCACCATTCATTTGGCTCAACATTATATGTGATGTCTTGGCGTAGACTTCGGCGCTGCGATCGTCAGATCAGATCCCATACACACGACAACAACAAGACGATTGGCCAAACACGTGGATCAATGGGTGATGACTTCGGGTGCGACAAACCGGTGATCAAATCTGCGGCAATGGGTTATCCGGTGGCGGAAAATGTGGTCAACAAATGGATATCACAATAAAAATGAGTGAAAATTATATCAATTAAATGGCAAATCAAATGTCAATCAAATGTTTAATATATTGGAAATCACTGTTAATATTGAGCTTTAATTCAGTTTATAATTAACTTAATATTGATTTTGATTTTGTGTTTTAAAAAACGAATTCAAAACTAATTGTTTGTTTATTTTTTTGTCTTATTTTTCAATACAAGCACTGAATCACTATTACATAACAAAAGTTGCGATTACTTCGCCTAAAAGGGCGTAACTAATGCACTCTCAATACTACATTAGAGGCCATTCTAAACGTGCGATTTGTCGGCAACAAAATAATGGCATAAAAAATGTCTGATAAATACCTAAAAGTATCAAAATATCACACAATAGACGGCACGACTTGTGCTATACTTTTATACAAATATAACGTTATATTAATTGTAATGATTGTCCCCTTAATAGTTGCCCCCAATGTTATACAAATATAATGTCCATCATATTTAGAATATTAGTTACCCGTAAATACAATGTAACGGTGTATATGAATTGTTGTTGTTATAAAACATGTGTAACATTTAAAAAGTGATTTAAATTTAAACTAAATCCAGTTTTTAATCACTAATTAATAAAGTTTTCAATCATAACATAAAAGTCAATATAAAAGCCATTTGTAATCC